AGAGTTAAGTGTTTGAAGGCCGGTGATGGCAGTACAGCCATTTAAAGGAGGTATTGTGTTTGGCAATAGGTTTTCTGGATCAGCTTATAGCAAAATAAAGATTGCCAGAATCATTTTTTTTGTGGATGAATATTCTCTTTCTTTCAAATTCTTGCGTTTTATGCTTAAAATCTGTGGAGAAGATAATAATTTGGTAGCTAGTACTTTAAATAGCTTTCACAACATATATGCAATGTTTTCATTCTCTTCTTAGATGTTATTTTTAGAGGTGAAACAAGAAAGCATGTGCTGTTCACATTTACCTTAAAAATTATTACTAAGGTAATAGCTCAATTTCATAAAAAATGCAGTGGTAGGGCAGGCACCGTACTGAGAAACAGCATGGTCTCACCTGCTTGTTTTCCCCGCCTTTCCTATTCTTTCCCTCTTCTACCTTTTCCTTTCCCTGCTGTGTTCAGAGTAGGTCTCTCTTGTTACTTGACTATCTCTTAACTAGATTGAAAAGGAGCAAGCACTTGAGGCTCTGAAAGGCCGTGGCTTCTTAGGTAGGACTACTTCGTTTATGATTTGAACTAGTGAGCTTACAAGGTCGTGCAGCCCAAATTAATATAAGCTTTAGGGATCTTCAGTCCCAGATAACTTCTTAAAGTGGGGAGGGGGAGGAGGGTTGTTGTTATTGGTTTTTTTTTTCCACTTTTCCCGGTAAGAGTCCTTCATATCTATTTCTCTATTCAATTTTACTTTGCTCTAATTCATATTTTCCTTCTGCTTGGTATTCAGTGCTAGCTAAATTACTCTGCAGACCTTCAAGATATTATTTGGGCATCTAGCTTCCTGAAACTGGAATTTATTTGTACCCACTAATAAGTGTATGGTTTTACCTTGCTCATTCTTTAGTTATATCTGTGTTTCATGTACAGGCTTTTACAAGGTACATTTATTTTAAAAAGTTATGCTTTATTTTTAATTATTTCCTTTGTGTCTGAACCAGCACTGCAAACTGCCAACCACAAGTAGGAACAACTTTCATTATGGCTCTCCTAAAAGGAGAGATTAAGTAACAATCCTATGCCAGCCAAACTAAAATTTTAAAATGATGCTTGACATTGAGTAAAAGATTCTGATTTTCATTGAAACTACTAGAGAGATGTAAATGCATATCATACAAATCAAAATGAATAACATTTTCTATGTTACTTTGAAAAAAATATATATACATTTGAATTGCGTATTTATTTTACATAGCATGATAAGGTTTAAGTCATAAATTATTGTAAGTCATAATATACATCACAATTGACACAATGATGTTATTAAAATAGGTAAGAAAGCCAGGTGTAACTGAAATAACCCCTATTATCAAAAAAAAATATTAATACTTTAAAACAAACATAATTTGGCAGATAGAGGATTTAATCAGCACTAGGGGAAAAAAAAAAGGATTGGAAAGTCAGAAAGGGCCTTCAGAGTACTGGAACTGCAGATGAGATTTTTGCACCAGTAAAATGTTAGTCACATAAGGTGAATCAAGAGCTCTAGTGAAAATAGGCGAGCAGATGTACAGAAATAAAAAGACAAGAGAAGAGGGAAAACAAACGAGAAGCTATCAGAGGAGAAGCATGGCAGTTATTGACTATTCTTATAAATGAGAATAATAATATCATTAAAGATAAAAAAAAATAAAAGAGAGGAAAGTGTATCTTGTTGGCAGCATTGCTTAAACGATGGAGATCAAGTGTATCCATCCTTTGTATTCTGTACTAAGGACTAATAGGTGTACTGATAATAGGTATCACTCTATTAGGGTACTGTGCTTTGTGACCTGTGCCAGCACAGTATTTTGCATTTTCTTCTATCACTCAGAAAAGATTTTAAACCCAAGCTACTGACAGTGTTCAGACTTCCTCACTTGTTATTTGCTCCCAAGAGACAGGAGATGGGTTTCCCTTAAATGAAACTTTTCAAAATGATCTTATCTGATGTGTTTTACCCAGGCGCCATCGCTGCCCTCATCAACCCACAAGGATTTATAGTAATGGACAACAGCCGTGCCTCACAACAGAGTATGTGGAAAAATATCCCAAGTATAGCAACATCCCTCCTCCCCAGAGCCTTAAGCCGAAACAAGAGTACCAAGCGCATCGTGGGAAAATGGAAGGAATCACAACATTTAAGTAAACATTTTAAAGCGAAGTTTTACAGTTACTTTGTATTTTAAAGTTTCTCATACTTCTCTTTTAAGTGGAACTGGACATTGTATTGCAGTCATTTTCAAAAGGCAATCATTGTATCCTTTGATCTCCAAACGTATTTAAAAGTACTAGTTTTGAGTGTAAAAAATAGTTACCTTAAAAAGGTCATCAGAGATAGTGAAACACACACACAGAAAAACTGTGTTCTTTACAGCATGCTTTAATCTGTAAAGAAAATCCAAAATTTATTTTTATTATTGTTGTCGGCCTGTTTTAGAAATCTAGGTCTCATTGATTCTGAAAAACAGTGTGGCAAATTGGGGAACTTATTGTAGTACATTTATGTAATCTGAGATAATAGGGAAAAACAAACCTCAAGAGAAAGGAACAGGGCATTTCTTGTTCAAACTGTTCTAAATGGTTAGGACTGGGAGAAAGCCCACTGTAAGGAGTTCATTAGGTCTGGCCTTTGAGTGCACAGACCCAGGCAGTGATCCTGCAGTGAGTTCGCTTAACTGAGCCAGTAAATCTGCAGAGCACAGCTGGTGTGAAGAGGATGTGCTGGGGCCTGAAGGTCTTACCTGTATAGAGCTCATTGTAACAAGAAGAACAAAGATGTAAACAGGCCTATAAGGAAAGACCAGAAATTTCTGATAATAACTTTACAAAACTGAAGATCATCTTTCAAAGAGTTAGGAAAAGACAGCACTTGTTCAGTATTAATGGTAATAAAGTGACAGGAGCGTAAACTTTTACTTTTTCAAATATTGCTTTTATTTTAAACTGTATAGGTAAAAGATGAAATTTCTGTATTTGTTTATTAAAAAGAAGCACATACATACAAAGGCCAAATGCCCGTCTGCAAAATCATATGTTATGTACAGAGTGTACTGTTTGAAAACCTATATATCTAATACACACTTGTTTGTGTGATGTGCCCATATAAAAATGATCCATGCTGAAATGCTGTTTCTGTTCAAATTCAGTTCTTCCCATGGAATTGAAAATTTTGGCCACTCATAGTAGTTTGATCTTTAATCTGGCTTCTGCTCTCTGGATCACGTATTTGTAAAATTAAATAAACTTGTCTAGCCTCCTTTGAGATTTTTTAAGAATAGTTTTAAACTGGGAATGATAGGAAAATGCTAGGAGTTTTGAAAAGTTATTTCACCATCCTCCCCTGAATAAAGAATATGCCATGCATCAGATACTCTATTTTTATGCAGTATGATCTTCTTTCTTTCTTGTTATCCTCTAATATTTGGCATCTAATTAACTTTTCAGAGTAAACATTTTAAGTCTGTTTTTCCATATAATAGAAAAATGACAGAAGTGACTCTATCAGAAAAAGTAGTTTTTAACCAGTGTTTCCTTTTCCCCCCATTCAGATCTGATTATTTACCATATGATATTGTGAAGCGACCTTTTCGGGTACCAGAACAACATAAACCAAAGACCGGAGAGAGAGAACTGGGAACTACATACCAGAAAGATTATAATGCTCATAAAATACAGCCAGTGATATTAGTAAGACCTTTAGAGAGAAAACACACTACAGGAGGAAAATTGGATACCATACCAACTTATCAAGGTAATAATATACGCCACCTTTAGAAGGAGAAGATAGTATTCTGAGTCACCACATTTGAGATGTGAAACTGGATTTATTATTTTGGGCCAGAGAGATAAATGCAAAGCAGGTGATAATGCTTTTAGATGTTCAGCACTCCAGTTGTTTCAGAGTTCATATTTATAGGTTTCTACAGGAGAAACCTTCTCCAGGTTTCCTTGGCTAAAAGGAGAGAAAATCTAACATATACTTGTTAGGCTGTCTCAGGCATAAGTGGCACCAGCTAAGGAAGAGTCAGGAAACCCTGGAGGTTGTAATTAAAGTGCAAATATATCTTCCAGATAGCTTTAGAAAAAAATCTATTATGTAGAAGAAGTTTGAATGAACAATGTGAAACTACCTCCTCTGTTCTGTGGTCTGGGCAAACCTCAGCTGCTACTGCAATGGAATTTCTTATTTTTATTTTTCCATAATGTAGGTCAAAAGCCAATTTCAGTATTTCCTTCACCTGTGCTACACAGCTTGTATATCATTCCATTAAAGTTCTGTTTGGACAAAATATATTCTGTTACAGTGATAAGTACAAAGGCACTAAATCTTTTCTAAGTCATTCTGGCTAGCCACCGTGACATACTGTATACATGTATAAAATGTTTCACATAAAATTTTTTTTTACTGAATTTTTTACATGTACTGCACCCCCCCACACACTTAAAAGTATATAAATGTAAATGATGGTATATGATCTACTAGAAGTGCCAGGATGAGAAATCAAGATACACCTGATTATGAGGGCCAGTAGTATAAGAAAAGATACATGAGTTAACAAGAACTAGTTACAGTCATTAAAACAGGAAGTTAGAATCCTTGGTGTGAAATGAGCAGCAAAGATATTGCAGTGACAGAAACAGAGTTAGAAGGATAGAATTTCTCTTTAAAAAAATGGACTTAAAATTCACCAGCTTCTGTATGCTTATGCCTATGCTAAATAGAAATGCATGTAATAAATATTTTGTCTATTACTTCTAAATGATATTTATAAACAAATATTGATATATCTATTTACCCTACATGTCAGTACAAAGAAGCCAGTAAACAATGACTAATTTAGTCTAGTCTCAGCATACAACTAAGCATGCGACTGCTTTATTTAAGTGGTACCTTATCAGTTCAAAAAGGAGTTAGTATCAAGGAATGAAAAACAGCTGAAGCTGAAGTATAGTAACAGCAAAAAACCACATTGGTATCATATGCCTGTGAAGAAGTTTAGACTGGATACTAACAGGTTTCTAACACTAACAGAACAGTCTGTTTTAAAATAAAATAACATACATAAAAAAAAAACCAGAGACAGACTTAAGAAAAAAATCCTATCTAGCTTTAAGATCATGCAGTGCTGCTAAGGAGAGCATGAAAGGTAGTTGTCTCTACCAGTAGTGAACACGACCCAGTGACCTACAAGGTTCCTTTCGGTCCTATATACCTGACATATATTTCTAGGTAAAATATAAGGTATTGTATATATAACCTGTATGTATTTTGTGTATAGAACACACATTTAATGTGGACAGGGTACATTTTATTTTTCGTCAAGGAAATAGTCCTAGCAGGGCATTAAGTAGAATTTTCTGTCTGTTCTTATCATTCCAGTAATAGCAGAAAGATAGATTTGCCATATCACAACCATGCAGATAACATTACCATTCTCACTTATATCCATTTTCTGTGGACTGGGAGGGTTACTATCAGAAGAAATTGGCTTAATTTTAAAGGAGCACTCAACCATAATAAAGCTTTATATACAATATACATATGTTTATATATATATTTTGCCTTAAAGATGATTATAGGTTATGGGAAGTTCAAAGAAGGGAACCTAATAAGGTGGACCACACATACAACCCACCTACAGAGAAGTTTGGAAATTCTACTACTTTTCAGGATGACTTTGTTCCTAGGGAACTGAATCCCAGAAGAAGTTTTAAACCTCCTTGTATGACCAAGCTTTCAGATGTACCTTTTGATGGTACTACTAGTCATCGCACTTCTTACATTGCTCATCAATTGGAACCAAAATTTATAAGATTGAAAGAAGAATACAAACCAAGCAACCAACCGTTTGAAGATCTCACAACCCACCGGAATGATTTTAAAGGGCTACCTGGGCAACTTGCAAAAAGCTGCAGGCCTGAAAATACTAAAGTTGGGTCCAAAGCTCATTTTAATGGGCTCACTGAATTCCAGGATCGTTTTCAGCCATGGTCAGTCTCCTTGCCTGAGGTCCGCAAAACAAAAGAATACATTCCACCCCTAGGTAGCATGGATTTTAACTCCACAAGCCATCTTGACTATGTTAAACATGAGCTTTCTCCTGCTGTCCCCATAAGACCAGTTTCTAGTGGAAGAAGAACCAATGCCCCTTTCCAAGGGAATTCTACCATGAAAGAAGACTTTCAAGCTTGGGACAGCTGTCGGCAAGAAATTATTAAAAAGTATCAGGAAATTCCAAAACCCACAGGTAAATTTGATGATTTAACTACATTCAAATCTCATTACATACCACATCAGATAATTCCAGCTCAAAGTTTCAAACCTCTACGTGTTGTACTTCCTAATTCAGCTCGCTTCGAAGATGAAACTATGTATCGCACAGAATATACTCCAAAGAAACAAGAGAGCTGCCCAGCAAATTATCCATCTCCTCCAGGATATGTTTATGTAGACACAGATTCTCATGGTCACAAATTCTTCCACCAGCTTACTCCAGAATATTCTGACTCAAATGGTAATCCTATTCCAAAGGAAGTAGCTGTTGTGTCATAATATTTAAAGTATCATTTCAAGCAGCCTTGCAAAACAATTGGAATCCTACTAGTTCAGTTATCCTTTGATAAAACGGAAAGCCAATCAAATAATGCGTATTTTGATTTAAAAATACTAAAACTAATAGCTTAATGAAAAATCAAAACAGAAACAATAAGATAAGTTTATTACAAAACTAATAAAGATTAGCCAATTTTTTTTTTTTTTTTTTTTTTTTAGGAATGCTGACTCTTCCAGACATCTAGTCTTTTCTGATTGTGCATTCTGCTATCCTGGACTTTCCAGTTTTCATTATGTTCCATCTCAAACATGTACACTGTACTCCCCCCACCCCAGATTTTTGGCAAACCAAATGTATAATAACAAAAATATAACAAAAACATTTTGATCATAACATCTTTTTCATAGTATAGCAAAAAGCTAAAATTAATTAGCTCATCTGTACAACTTTTCATCTCATCAATACTTTGAGTAATCTGATAAGAAGATTTTTTCTTGACATTGTGCTGTCCAAATCATATTATAAGATAGCATCCCATGACATCTAGCCATTTCTATAAGCCCCTTTTCAGCTTTTTTGTTATGATTATTCTTTCATCCAGCTCTGAAAAGAGTCTAAATGTCACGCTGTAATTTCTAATAGCAATTAACAAGAAGTAACTTTGCTCTTTTTCTATACACATACTTGAAATCACTCAGACATAAAGCAGGTCATTAGCCTTTGTTCCCTAATTTCCCCAAAAGAGCACTTTTAGCCTAACTTCCAGTGAAAACAAAGCTGATGCAAACACTAAGTAAGTGTAGATGTCTCCTCACCACCTCAGGAATTTTTAAATTCAGTGTGTGAGTTTAAACAAATTCCACAAGCACAGATAATCATTTTTCAAATTTTCTAATGCAGATGGTGAGGAAAATAGAATGGGGCTCAAAAATTAATGCTAAATCACAGTAGGTTTTGCTCCTGCTATCTGATTTCTAAAGCTGAACAGCCTTGCACCACTGCCAAAGTTCACTTTGGCAAAGTTCACCACTGCAAAGGCACCCTGGAGGACGAAATGGCAGTAAACTAGAAAGGTGTACGCAGAGATAACAGAGAATCTTAGTGGAACTCAATTAAAAGAAACATCAGAGTCACACAAATCTCTAGACAGTCAGGATTCAGGCTGCCTGCTCTTCAAAGAATTACTTGTTACAAATACACAGAAAACAAATTGTTTATAGCAATTGTACATGCAATGATTATGCTGCCATATGAGGGATTAAGTATTTTTTCCATGCATTTTTATGTTAATTATGGTAAATCTCGATGAACTGGTTTCAGTTATATTATGTTCATAATTTAAGTCAGTCCCTATAAATAGCTCTGTGATTAACGATATTATCATGTTCTGTCTCAGTAGTGCAGTATGTTGGGTTTTTTTTTTTTTGGTATTGCGTATCTTGGTATTGCTATAGGAAAATCATTTGGGTTCTGAAGAATTGTATGTTGATACTTCATAAACCAAATTACCAAAAAAATACTAAAATCAATAATGGAAAAATGGTGAAAGCAGGAACTGTATCATATGCAATGGAAGAAAGCTGAATTGAGTATATTAGCTCTGTGTAAGACATTGCAAGACATAGCTCCAGTCATTATTAGAGCATCAGTTACTTTTAGATAACTTTTGTCCTTTTGCTGTATCTTTGTGATGTGACTTAATCAGCTGATGAAAACATCAATTAAATTTTTCTCTCTCTAAAGATTATTAATTTTCCCAGTTATTAAAGACATGTTTTGGATGGGACATGAGTAAAGGCAACAAAAACTATGATGACCTAAAAGCAGGACAGGAAGAAAGTCCAATTCATTGTCATCCTTCTGTACCATAGATAAAACAAACTGTGGAATCCCTTTTATGAAGGTTGAGTCATTCTCTGTCAAGCTACCACCGACGAGACAAAACTTCCCACAGTTGTACCCACCTACTCCATGTCCTACATACAATCTTGGTATTTCATGAGAAGTTTACAAACATTCCTAATACACTCTGTCTCCCTTTTCTACGAAGGCAGAAAGACTCAATACTGAGAAATTCAATCTGATTCCATGAAGTAAACATACCCATGTGTTATGCTGAAAATGGCTCCTCCTCTGGCTCCGAGAGTAAGCCCAGATGCTTTTTGTAATTTTCACAGATGTTTCTGTAGTCACTTTTTTTTTCTTTTCCCATCTTAAGTAAGTTGAGGAAAGTAATTTGCTGCCACCTACCAGCACTGTGCAATAAATTTTGAGAGGAAGTGGAGGGCATATTCAGATACATTTAACAGATCCTCTGCAGCTGTGTCTGACAATTTTTGCAGGGGAGGAGAGAGGTGGAGGTGGAGTGTATTCCCTTTCAATTTGCCCTTAATGTTTTTCCCTAAATTTACTAGTGAAAGAGAGCAGCGTTTACTGCATTGTATTTGAAAGAGCCACACCCGAAAGATTATGATTCCAGGAAAAGCATCAAATGATATTTTAAAGCTTCAGACAATATTCAATACTTAAGGTCACATTGTCATAAGCAGAATATTATTGAACTGCATACAAAATGAACAGCAGGCTGGAAAACTAATATGCCTCAAAAAAACAGCTGTTAAAAAGAAGCATTTTATGATGTTACGCTAAACCAAGATGCAAAAGCAGAAAAGTTATTCATGGATCCAATTGCTATTCTAAAATTGCTTTTTGTACACTATGTTATACATGCTCCGCACAGCTGCTATACAGAATCTGTTTTTTAACAGAAAGAATGAGTTGATGACATAAAGCCGAAAAGAAAAAGATGCCTGCATCTGTGTCAGTACTACCATCTAGGATAACTCTGAAACATCACCATTTCATTGCTAGACATTTAATTTCAGCTTAACAAAAATATTTGACGATTTCCTTGTTCATATAATTTATGGGACTCTCTATTGACTATTATACATATTGGATGAATATATGAAACAAAATATTGGATAAATATATGAAACAAAATTCTTCATGCAGCTATTTGCCAGCCATAACCCAGTAAATATAAAAATAAAGAGATTATCTGTTGGATCTATATGCACTCTGCTTGGAGCAGTACATGGAGGCCTAGCAAGGAAACATAAATTTATTCCACATTTTTACACAATCCTGATTCAAGGCTTCAGTAAGTAAGAGTTGATTTATTTGGATTTTGGCATAGAAAAATTTCCCTTCCACTTTTTCAGTCAGGTTATCTCTTATGTTGCCTTTTAATAGCAGCGCAAAGCAGACTGTAATGAAGCTGAGAATCTGTCTGATAAGCTGTCAGAAATAAGAGCTAGTCTTAGTTTTGAAAAATCCAGGATTATGGAGATAATAGGTTGATAAGTAATACTTGGGAGGAAAGCATAGCTACCATGAAAATCACAGTAATAAACAATCTCTGTGTAATCATGCTGTTGAATAATCAAAGTAGAGTTTATTTCAGAAATATCAAAACTACGTTTAAGAAAGCTAAATATTAAACATCTTCAGTTACTGGAGTAGCAATAAAATAAGCTACAGAGGAATGTCATGCCAATTGCAAAAACAAACATTTACAGCACTGCTTCTGTTATAGCATGCATACTTAACCAAAGACAAAATTAAAGCAACAAAAGAATGCTATGTGTTAATATTTGAAAACTTTAAATATAAAGGAAAAACATGAATAAGAAATTTTGGTAATAAGAAAAAATATATGTTCCAAAATCTTTATTAAACACTGTACAAAACAAAATATTGCACTTTTAAATCAGACAATAAATATCTACAAAAGTATCTTACAAATGTTTTTCTTTTAATTTAAAAAAAAAACTGCTTAAACAATCAAGACCCATTGCTGATTAAGAAGGTAATGATCAGGAATATCCTCTCCTTGCAGTCAGCCTTGGACACAACAGTCCACTTTAAACACTTTCTATACAGTAGTGCTACTCTAATTTTCAGTGATACAAACCCATTGTGTAGGAATACTGTTTCTAAAACTGTTCTTACAGTATACCCACTAATTACAATGCAAGGTAGTTCAGTAACTGAACACAAAATCCAAGCCAAGATAAGGATGCAGGCCTCCAGCATGTGCAGTAGTGTGGAAACTATAAAAGAAAAAAAACAACTACTATCTGCTGCCTCCTAAGGGGTTCTCTGTGCTTAAACCCTACAAGACAATCTGCAATACAGAAAACAATTTACTCAGGAATGTCATAATCAGAATTTACCAGTTTTCAAAAGACTTGAATACTTAATGGTCATGATGAAAAATCATCGTGACTGAAAACTGCTCAAAGATAGGTTTCTTGCACTTATTCATTTTCATAATTAATATTTCTTCCTTGGATTTTTTTTCCTCATTAATGCAAAAACAACTATTTATTCAAGGCAAAGTCTGACAGGTACATTCGGCCAGTTATCAGCTCTAGTTCCCCATTCGACTACGTGCAAGAGAACAGTGCTCACAAATGTTTCATTCACAGCTCTGACAAGGAAGCCTTGTGTCTAATTTAAATTCAGTAGAGAAGTCCAATTGTGCCAGAACTTTGATCGTACTTCAGTGACTGGAGCAGAAGAATAAAAACAATGGAAAATGACACCTCATTTATTCAAAACAGATCTATTGCTGTTTTGAAAATTGTACTGGCATCTACAATGCCTTTTATTATATATGCATAAATACAAGCATGAAAAAAGAAATGTACTTCTGTGTATCCATCTGACAGCTAATCTCAATAAAACATATCCTGTGAGATTGACCCTTAAGCTCAGGCTGCTTATGAAAATGAAGTCACTGCCAAAAACTTTATAGCTACAAGCCACAGGTTCTATAAATTTAAGAATCATGTTAAATTTGATAAAACAATAAAAACACGAACTAGAGGTCAATAGTTGCTGCATTCTGAAATTCTTCAAAGGATTTTGTTACTTTGTCTTTCTCATAAGTTAAGGACAGTAAGCACTGCGTGGTGCTTTTTAGACAATGCCCCCCCCCCCCCCGCCGTAAAACTATAATGTGATGGCTTGTAAAATTTTACAAATGATGTGCCATGATATTATCTTCCTAATCCAGACACAAAAATGTTTAAAACATTAGAAGTTCCATTGCAAAAGAGTGGATAATAAAAGTTCCCAGAAAAAATACCCTGTCCAGCATATCAATCTACAATACTGTTTTTTCATTAGCCCCATGTAGC